GGTAAAAAAAGGGTTAAATGTTAACGAATACAATTGTTGTTATAAAGTTAAAATTGTTGTTGTTATAGGTTGTATTATAATTTATAATTGACTTTCATTGCTAATATGTATTCTGTTTCTGTGTCAATTTTTATATTAGTACTCCAAGTATGGTGTTTTATATCGAATGTGGAAATTTTAATTGTATATATTACTTGGATAATAATTACATTCTTGCACTTTTAGAAGTCCTTGGTAACACCCAAATTGTAGATTATGGTGGAATTGAAAAAGCAAAGATTGCTCGGCATCAAAATGAATTCCAGTGCAATATTGTATAATGGGGTAAATTTTTTGTCGCTTTTGTTACCTATTAAAGCAAAGATAGCGAAGATATTAATATTCAGTAATTGTTCTCCTTTTACAGTCGAATCTCCAATAACGACCTCTCTAGCTAACGATGCGACAGTTTGGTGGCCGTTAGTTAGAGAGACCACTTGTTTTTATAATCAAAACTATAATACAACTTTTAATAAAGACCACATCAAAAACAAACTATTCAAAATTTTACGGAAATATATAGAACATTTTTTAATTTGTTAAACAAGATTATTTTGTCTTAAATATAAAGAGATTTTGAGACGTTGTCTTGTAATATTAGTATCTTAACTCACAAGTTTGTCGTCTATTTGAAGTAAGCATCAAAATAATGTAAGGGGAAATATTGTTTTCATATTAGTTTACGGAATGGAGGCCTGGATTATGAAAGCCGTGATTCTCCATAAACTGTAAATGTTTGAAATTTGTACATATCTCTGTTACAAGTACAGATAGTACAGGACAGATACAATAATCATTCAAGAAATTCTTATTGAGGGAAAAATAGGGGGAGTTGTTCAACACAATAAAGTGTTGACTATCACTTAATGAGAAATACAAAATATATAATCTAATTCATAATAATTGAGAGAAAGGCCGAGAAGAAAAGATATGGCTTCATTAAGAAATAGAAACATATTCGCGCATTTGATCGCCAACATTCAGCTGTGGAGTTACATACAAAAAGACTACTGGTTCTATTATATTTTTTTATTTTATATGAGTTGGTCCAACTCATAAAATTTCTTAGATTGCTGGCCTGAAAGTTCGTCTGAAGTTGTTGTCTCGCTGCTGTCACTGCTGGATTCCCAATCTCCTTAGGTCGTCCTGCACGCCGTCTGAGAGTCTGAGTCGGGATCTTTCTCTACTCCTTCCTTCGGGACCACACATAAATACATTCGTGATGGTTCTTTCCTCCCCCGCTCTCTGTACATGTCCAGCTTACCTTATCTACCCTTTATTACATTAACAAAATCTAGTTTTCTAAACAACCGCTACAGTTTCTAGTTTCTCCTTACTCTCCAGACTTCACCGTCTCTAACTGGTACTAAAATTTTTTTGAATATTTTTCTATTTCATCTTCTGGGCGCTTCAGTCCATATCTCACTTCCATACATCACTACTGGAAGTATTACGCTTAGGTACAAAATGTTTGTATTATAACTGACAACTCTGGACTTAAAGAACTGCAGTAGACTTAAACAGCGTCAGTTAGTTGCTGCCATTATAGGTTTAATGTAATTAAAGTTAGTTATCTTGTGCTATAGCCGCAAATACATTCTTTAAATTACCTAAGCGACGCCTTTATACATGGAAATCGCCAGCTGACAAAGACAACAAAATCGTCAGAAATCAAATTGATTACTTCCTAATAAAACACAGAAATCGAAACTCAATTCAGGCAGTAAAGGCATATCCAGGAGCGGACGTATCTTCTGATCATAGTCTTCTTATTGCTAGATTTCAACTTCAACTAAAAAAGACACAAAAAAGCCGCAATAACAATAAACTTAACATACAGAAACTAAAGTCAGAAGAAACAAAAGAAAATCTGAAACACGAAATCAACACAAATCTAGACAGAAACCCAGGAAATAACTGCAACGTAGAGCAGCAGTGGCAATTCTTCAAAACCTCTATATTGGAGCCAAGTAAGAAACTACTTACAACAACTAAATATAAGAAAGAAGAATGGATGACAGAGGAAATTCTAGAGTTGATGAATGAAAGGAGGAAAAACAAAACCATCAATAAGACGCGCTATAAACAGCTTCAAAACCAAATAAGAAGAAAAATTAGGGAGGCTAAAGAGACCTACTTCTCTGAAAAATGTAAAGAAATAGAAGAACTTCAAAACAGATATGACAACTTCAACCTACATAAAAAAGTCAAAGAACTAGCCGGAGTAGGAAATAGAAGAACCTCAAATATATTGCTCGACAAAAATGGAAATATTATATTGGAAACAGAACAAAAACTACGACGATGGAAAGAGTACATCGAAGAATTATTTCATGACCAGGGAGAAGCTAGTACATCTGTAGATAGCCAAACGGGAGATGTAGGTCCAGAGATAACCAAATCAGAGGTTAGTCAGGCATTAAACTCAATGAAAACCAATAAATCTGCTGGTCCAGATGAATTACCAAGCGAGCTATTAAAGTTGGTCAACGAGAAAAACCTGGACATAATAGTAGAACTGTTCAACGCTATCTATACTACGGGAATCATTCCTAGAGAAATGTTGACATCAGCATTTGTATGTTTGCCAAAGAAAGTGAATGCCAAAGAGTGTAGTGACTATCGAACCATAAGCTTAATGTCACATACCTTGAAAATTCTCTTGAAAATTATCCACGCCAGAATACACTCTAAACTGGAGCTGGATATTAGTGACACTCAATATGGGTTCCGCAATGGTATGGGTACCAGAGAGGCATTATTCTCCTTCAATGTGCTGACACAGAGATGTTTGGATGTTAACCGCCCTCTTTACGTCTGTTTTATAGACTACAATAAAGCGTTTGATAAAGTAAAACATGATCGACTCCTGGAAATTCTAAAAAATAAAAACCTAGATGAAAGAGATTTAAGGCTAATAACACACCTCTATTACAATCAGCGAGCAATAGTATGAATCGAAAAAGAAACATCTGAAGAAATGGAAATAAAGAGAGGAGTCAGGCAAGGCTGCATTCTATCACCTCTATTATTTAACGCCTATTCTGAAGAGGTAATTCGAGAAACTCTGGAAGATGAAACAGTCGGCATAAGAGTAAATGGAGTCTTAATTAACAACATCAGATATGCAGATGATACAGTAATAATAGCCGATAGTTTACAAGACCTGGAAAGACTCATGAACAAAATAGTCATGTGTAGTAGGGAGTACGGACTCTCTCTTAATGTCAAAAAGACGAAGTTTATGAAAATTTGTAAAAACAACTATAATACTAACGAAATCTTGATAGTAGAGAGCCAGCAGATCGAAAGAGTAAAAAAGTACACTTACCTAGGAACACTTATAACAGAAAATAATGACTACACGGCAGAAATCAAAGTCAGAATCGAAAAAGCACGTTCTAATTTTATAAAAATGAAAAAGGTCCTATGTGGCAAAGATCTAACATTAGCTCTTAAAGTACGCCTAACAAAATGTTACGTATACAGTGTACTATATTATGGAGTGGAATCATGGACGTTAAATCTAGATACCATGAGACGACTTAACGCCTTTGAAATGTTTACCTATAGAAGAATTATGAGGGTTTCCTGGGTAGATAGAGTTACAAACAATGAAATACTGAGAAGAATAGGCAAAGAGAAGGAAATTGAACTTACAATTAAAGAAAGAAAGCTACAATATCTCGGACATGTGATGCGGGGCGATAAGTATGGCATCCTGCGACTCATAATGCAAGGAAAAATAGATGGCAGAAGAAGCATCGGAAGAAGACGAATTTCATGGCTGAAGAATCTGAGAGAATGGTTTGGATGCAGCTCAAAACAACTATTTATAGCTACTGCCTCAAAAATTAAGATTAAGGCAAAGAGAAGGAAATTGAACTTACAATTAAAGAAAGAAAGCTACAATATCTCGGACATGTGATGCGGGGCGATAAGTATGGCATCCTGCGACTCATAATGCAAGGAAAAATAGATGGCAGAAGAAGCATCGGAAGAAGACGAATTTCATGGCTGAAGAACCTGAGAGAATGGTTTGGATGCAGCTCAAAACAACTATTTATAGCTACTGCCTCAAAAATTAAGATAGCTATGATGATTGCCAACCTCCGTAGCGGAGATGGCACCTGAAGAAGAAGAAGAAGATCTGATATGGTGTATGTATTTGTTATCTCGTCTGAAGAGCCCTCGTCATCTTTTTAGTGTCTTTCTTAGGCATCCAGTTACTTCTCAATATCGTCCGAAGTCAATTACCCTTAATCCATTGTCATCCCTTTCAGAATGCAGAATATTTCTACAACCTTTTCGTATATCTCCTCTTCCTGTTTTCGCATTAAAATTGATTAAAAATTACATTAGCATCATGGTTTGGTATATTTTGTCTTCCTCTAATTTATAATAGACGGCATTTTTTACTTCTTCATCTGCCTCCTCTGTAGGGGCGTGGTTATTACATAAGTTAATATTACGTTAAGTTGAAGAACTTTTAACCCAAGACATAAAAAGCATATACTTATATATGCAAATGCAAATACCTATGTATATTTTCAAAAATACACATTATGTATATTGTTAAGCATACCAATTTAACAAATAATTAGGCACTCATAAGTGTCAGTATATATTTTGGTAACATAGGTGGCATATCCGCATTTTTTTTCTAACTTTCCGGACAGAACACGACTTCTTTTTGTTACCTTTTTCAATTACTTATTGAAATTGTTATGGTTAGACCTGAAAATTATACAACGCAATATGCGACGATCCTTTGACCTATGCGATGAAAACGTGGTTAGCAGTCTGGTTTATCGATTTGTTTGAATGTTGCGTAAGAATGACAAATGTATAAAAATTTAATAAAATTCCATTTATTTGATTAACATTTAGTAACATTTAGCGTTACTTGTTATATTTTTCTCTAATTTTTTTATCCAATATGTTAATTCAACTTCTTATAGAGCCATTGATTATGTGGTTGATAACCTTGCCATATACATGAAAGAAAATGATGAAAGACTTAGCGCACTGCCATATAGTATTAAAAACAGAATACTGCGTAGATTTACGACTTCAGCCTATTTTTGGAGAAACATTAATTTTAAATCGGTTTTGTTAGCTATTGCTAACGAACAGACATTGTCAATTAATTTGACTTCAGCTCCATTGGACGACGAGATTTTAAAAATAATTTCTAAATGTAAAAATGTTCGAAAACTGTATTTATCAAGGAACGACGATGGTTTGATTACAACTAAAGGTAAGTTATGTACATGCGTATTAGTTTTATTTCTTAAGGTTGATATTGTAACAATTGCAAACATATATCAGTGTAGTACAGAAAAATGTTCATAATCTGATTCTATCTTTGATCCTTTTTTTTTGTATATTTTGCTGTCTTTAGTCAATACTTTCATTAACTTCTACTCCCACTTTTTTTGCAACCTAACCTAAAGGCGCGTACAGATATGCGACCCAAACGGTATACGTACCGTACGCGTACAGATCCTTGAAAATATATCTACATCGTACTGATCGCATACTTCTCGATCCTCGATCCATGGAAAGCGTTAAAACCAACAACAAACACATGTGCGAAATGATTCATTTTATTTATAATTTTACAATAATCAGTTTGCTGTTTTTTCACGTCTCTCTATTATAGGAAGGAGCACGTCATTCACACAATGTTGATTTGATGAGACAATAAAAATGTTCGCTGCGTCTAGTAGCGCCGTCCAAACTAAAAGACGAACTGACGTACTGACGAAGTGACGATGACGAACTTCATTTGAAGTCGTGGAATAAACATAAACTGCAACAATTTGGTTTGCGACGAGTCACGATGAAACAATACGCAAGCGGTTTTTTTTCTGCCGTATACATTAACGAATATAGCTTTCGCATACCGTATGTTTACCGTTTGGCTCGTATATGTGTACCGAGCTTTACATAACCTCCTTAGACTTTGTGTACATTTTTTCCTAAATTTTCTTTTATCTATTGTATTTTTTACTTCTGTGTTTTGATTAATTCGAAACACAAAGCGTGTGCATTTATAGGCCGTGATCTGAATTTATTTCTTCCTGGCGTTTCGTCTGCTACTGCGACTTTATTAAGGCGATGTAACAACAATCGTATTTATAGTCGTCTTATGCTCTGGGTTGTGTCCAGTAATTTGGATTCCTATTGAAATTTTAGACGTATTTTATATTTTGTATCGCTGAGATCTTGTTTTGCATTGACAAAAAAATTATCCTATTCTTTTAAGCAGTGATTTTCAATCTGTGTGTCGCGACCCATAGGAGGGCCGCGCAGCCCTACTCGGATGGTCGTCGGCTGAAAGAAAAAGTTGAGGTTCTTACAAAAAAATACACAATTTTAGTGGGAAGGATGTGCTTGTTTATTTTTCAAAAGTTTATCAAGTTGTGGTGCTATTTTTGAAACGTTTATAATTAAATCATGTCAGTTTACAAAAGTATGAAGTAGCGAATTGCACTAATAATTTAAGAGCTTCCCTTGCCAACTCTGGATATTCGTGTTTTCTTTTCATCCAAAATACTTCGACACTTTGCGAATAAAATTCCATTTTAAGCATGACATCAGACAGATCTATTGATTTGTCCAAAACAGGGTTTAAAATCCATCTACGCCCATTGCCAGCTTCAGAGTGCAAGTATTGAAAGTATGTCAAAAGTTGCTCTTGTAAATTATACAAACTCTGTACCTATTATGCAAGGAATATCAGCCGATACTGCAAATCTTCTAAAAACATAGAAAAACTCAAACATTTTGTTTTGCAGAAAGACTGACCTCAAACAAAGTTTTGCATGAAATGTTTTTACTTTATCTTTAGCTGTTAAAATATTTTATTCTCTTCCTTGAAGGTTCTTGTTCAAATGATTAAGGTGACTAAAAATATCTGCCAGAAATACTAATTTCAAGGGCCAAATAGGGTCAGAAAAACGATAAGCATATTCAGATTTTTCATCTTGTAAGAACATTAGATAACAATTCAGCTCTTATCTCCATATCTCAGTCTGCTCTGGGAGAACCCCACTCCGCTGCTTTGGCGTTGAAGACCCCCAGCACTACACACTCTCTTCCCAATAATCTTATCTCATTTATAATTTCATCCAGCCTACTTTCATAATTCTCCACTGTACAATTCGGTGAAATGTAGCAGCATACTACATTTACTCCCACACGTATCGTCACAAATCCCTCATGCGTATCAATACCATATACTCTCAGTATTCTATTAAGTATCCGCACTCTTACCACGCCCAACGTATCCACGAACCATTCCCAACGTATCCACGAACCATTCCCTACTGCGCACTAACGTGGAGATTTTTGGCTCCGCCGCTATCAGGATGTCAATTTCTTTTTCGATTGCGGAGACCACAGCGAGGTCGTGAGCTAGCCTAGCCGTCGCAACATTTGTTCGCAGCACTCTTAACACACGTTCTCTTTCACGCTTATTCCCATTTTATCGCTTAGTCAGTAACTTCCTACCCTTCTTTCACCTTCACCTCTTGTTCTTCTGATAATTCCCCTGAATTTGGGGCACAAAGTGGACATAGATGTATGAACCTCCTCGTCGCAATTAAAGCATTTTACAGTGTTACTTTGACACTGGGATTGCACATGGCCCTCCATCCCACAGTTCCAGCACGCCCTTTTGCTTCTCCCTCGCAGTCTCTTGCTATGTGGCCATGTGCTTGGCATCCATAGAATCGGGTCACCTTCGCCATCTCCTTTACCATACGTGTACCATGTCTCCTCCCGACCAGCAAATTTCTCCACCGATTCGACGATATCTTTTTCTGTGGTTAGGCCATCCATATCCGCCAGCATCAAACCCTTCTTTACTTTTTCACCTTTTGCCACTACTCTTGTTGCGTATCTGTGTCTTGATGCTACTAAATTCTTGACTTGTTCCGCCATTTTCCTGGCTCCATCTAATTCCAGGACCGCACCTTCTTGTCTGGTTTGTCTAACCTTGTTTATGACGACATCCTCTCTTTCTTCTAGCTCTTCCCTTAACTCTTTTACAAGTTCAGCATAGGGTTGTCCTTTGGTTTTGTGATGATTACCATCCCTTTTTTTTTCTGTGGCTACTACTTGCCTTTCCTCAAACGTTTTGCCGTATATCGTTGCCGTTACCTTCTTGCTTCCTACTCTAGCACTTTTCTTGCTTTTTCCACTCTTAGTGCTGCTGGTGCTGCTATTCCTATATTTTCTCTATCCATTCTTTCCACACGGTCGAATATCTTCTTAGCTGCTGCCAGGAATTTAACAGCCATTGGTTCTTCTTCTCTCCTTTCCCTCCTATCCCTTCATTTTTGACATTCCTTTCCCTGTTTCACTTCTTTTTAAATTGATTTTACTTTCATTCTTATTTCCACCAGCTCCTATGTCTTTCTCTCCGTGCGATTTTCTTTTCTTTTTTCTGTTAATGTTGGTCGTCCACTCTCGTCATTACTATCCACCGTTTCTTTTCTACTACCATTTTCCACCACTGTTTCACCTATGTCCTCGTTTTCTCCTTCGTTCTTCTCCTTTGGCTCATCATTTTTCTCCTCCCGACTGCCCTTTTCTTCCTCTTCCGCTAATGTCGCCTGCCTCTCTTCGCCTATATCCTCCATAGACACTCCTACCCCATATTTACCTTCTTTTTTATTAAATATTTTTCCATTTTTCTTCCTACGAGTTGGGTGGATTCTTCGGTCCAGCGGGGTAGTGCGCCCATACTCCGCCAAGGCTATAACCCCCTTCCGTTTGCCCCCTCCTTAGGGCATCACTTGAGACCCACTTTTCCCCTTGTGCCATGCACCCCTTCGGCACGTTGGTGTTACACCTTGAGGTTAGGGTGGCGATATATTAGAATGATACATAGCCGCCTGTTCTGTGCATATCCATTTGTTCTCAGTGGTTTTTTCCACGCGTTTTTGTATTAGTGAAAGATTTCTCCTCGGGTATAGGTTTGGGTGTCAGGACGTGTATGATGGCTAGTGGTATCTGTCGTATGATAGTTGGGAGATTTTGTTATCACACAGGGACAGGTTAGGAATTTGGGTAGTGGACAGCGGACAGCTGCTCCATTCAGTTGCCTTTTACGACAAGCAGGAGAAGCCGTGAAGGTATTCTACGCCTTCACACGGCGAAGGGCTAGGGTGACTAAGACCTCGGATGCCCTGAAGAATACATCAGAGAGTATGTCGAAAACTCGGTGCAGTGATAACCGATCCCGGAAGCCTGTTTAGTTTTATATTAATTCTTGTAGTATTGATCTTAGTTTTAGGTTTAATTGGACTAACCGAGGAAATCTTTCGGAACAATATATATAATTATATGCAACTTTTTCCTTATGAGAAGTTGTAACTAGGTATGTACAGAAAAATCTATCTTTCAGGTTTAGTGGAGCTATGGAAAAATTGTACCAATCTTATTAGTTTTGTACTCTGTCGCAGCACTGAAGTCAGAGATGAGGTGTTAGATTGTATGGCAGAACATTGTCCAAATATGACGTGTTTGGATTTGGGTGGTTGTCCACAGATTACTGATATAGGCATTAAGAAAATTTCGAGATTGAAAAAATTGACTAGTGTCAATTTTTCTGCTACACAAGTAAGTTAAATGTAATTTCTTGTATGATACTTGATAAAAACACTTGCCCTTCAAGTGGTACTTTCAGTTTTATAGAATTCATAAATATTTTTTAAACAACAATTATACACAAAATAAAAAATATAAATAATATTCATATAAATAAATGTAACTACATTTATCTAGACTCGGATATCAAATGCAGGATAATTATTCCATGTGGCATAAGATCGAGAAAGATTATGTTTCTTGTTTTTCTATTGTGTACGATATCTTTCTCGGTCAGCGCAAATGTTCAAAATCAGTATTGTGCAATTGTTTTCGTTAGCGAAGAAAATGAACGTTTCAATCTCTCGATGCTATCCTGTTTCGGGATAGAAGTTTCTTAGTAAGTCTAGATCCGGAGCTTCTTTCCAGTGGCAGCTTGTCTACGTTTTCTGCACTGCTGCTGCAGTTCATTGTTTTCTCATTTATGCGGATATTTCTCCACTTTTCCGCAGAAGATGAGGAAGTCCTCACAAAGTCAAAAATCCTTAAGAGAAGAAATAAGCGCAAGGGACCTTAGAAAAGGCCAATGGAATGATCGAATGGCATGGAAATTTGACATCGGACAACGTCGCAAGACGTTTTGAAAACGTTTATATATTTATATATAACTAAGTCAGCCAGTCTGCCAACGAATCCTCCTATATCCACGAACACACAAGTCGCGTAATCCCTGGCAATATAGGGAGTATTACGGGAGTACGTTATATTATAGCAGAAGAAGGAAAGTGAAAGGGTTCGGCGCCCTAAAATCAGAATACACCAGCGAACCCTTACCAACCTGCACTGAGACAGCGTGTAAGGTACGCCTCACAACCCCTAACATGACAGACACATTCAAATCAAGGCTCTCATTCTTCTTAGGTCCAAATTGCCCCAAACTGGGTGATTTCGGGATCAAGCCAGGAGGGAAGAAGGTGCTAAGAATCTGCGGAGTCTAACCGCTACCCAAATAAAAAACAACGCTTTATATAGCGACATATAACTGCCGCTCGCTATCAAATCAATCCAGACTTGTAGAAATGGAAAAATAAACTGAAAATATAAAATGGGACGTCATAGGAATCAGCGAGGTAAGACGGAAAGATGAAGAGCTATTGGAATTAGCGTGGATCACGAAACACATTCTACTACCGAGGAACATCAACGGGCAGAACAGGCGGTATTGGATTCCTGATCAACAAGAAATGGAAACGGTGATAGTCAGTAATGTAAAAATATTTTTTATTTGTTTAAAAAACTGACAAAAAATCTATTTTTTTATTATTAATAAAATCCACTAATATGATTGTGTATAAACGTTTCAAATGTTAAGAATTTTGAAAAATAAAATTAATTAGCCTTAAAATGTGGCCAACCTATAAGTATATACTATATATGTTGAGAATATTCGTGTAGATTCTAATGCCACAGATCTCACTTGATTAAGATTATATACCAACAATAATATACTTAACTTTACTAAAGCACCAGAAAAGTCAGTCTGAAATTAATCGGGATACATAGAAACTAAAACTTTTTTAAAAGGTCCCCCTGAATTATTGTTGCTTTTGAGTGACAAAGGTAATACCTCTGTGCTGATGTGCAAAGAGCAGTACGTGGTGTTAAGCCAAGAACTTTTAAATGATGATCAATATTATCGACCATTACCAAGAAATCTTGCATTATATATGTATATTGTAACGAAATAGCCCACCTCTGATGAGTGGTACGTGTCACAATTCTTAGAAGGATGAATCTGGATGAACCCCCGCCCGGGGGCGCCAAAGCTATTTCCTTGACTGCTGCTTTTCGAGGCGGATATCCTAAGATCAATTTCTATGGGTCAAGAAAAATGATCAGACCTTGATCACTACCGAACTACGTGGATGTTCCCGACGAACAATACTTTTCAAAAGTCACTGCCGAATTTATTTTTAAATCTCACACCATGACACCACTGTAGCGTATTTACATTTATTTCCGAAAAAATGTCACATGTTTCGACGAGAAGTGAAGTACTTAGGACATATTGTAGCAAGTAATGCTGCACTGGCCAATATTTAATTGCTGCAAGTTTTCCGGGATCAGCTGTGATCAGCCATTACTTGCTACAATATGTCCCACTTCTCGTCAAAACATGTGACATTTCTTCGGACTTAACTTGAAATTCGCTGCCAGTCATCGTTGAAAGACTTTTGTCAGATTATTGGTATGTTCATTGAAGGATCTTCTAACAAGAATTACATCATCCGAATAAACCAGGCATGTTTTCTATATTAGACCTCTTAAATCTGCCTCCATTAATACTTCAAATGTAACAGAGGCAATACATAAACCAAAGGGCATAACTGTGAACTGCCAAAGCCCTGATCCTATCGAGGATCAGCAAATATCCACTTTTCAGATCGAGTGTGGAGAACCAACGAGAATCAGAGAGAGTATCCAATGTATCATCTATTCTGGTTAAAGGATAACTATCTTTCTTAGTTACCTAATTGAGCTGGCGGTAGTCAATAGAAAAACGCGTTGAACAATCTTTCTTCATGACTAGAACTACGGGTGATGTCCATGGACTGTTTGACGGTTCAATTACGCCTTGTTTGTTTATATCTTTAATGATATCTTCGGCTTCCTCTTTTCGCAAATGGAAGTCGTCTAGGTTATTGCCTGATTGGCTGAGGGTCTTCGGTATTAATTTTATGCGTAACTATGCTTGTTTTGCCCTTATCCTTCTTATCAATGACAAAACCATCTTGAAATTCTATCAGCATAGACTTCACTTTTTTAGTTCGTTCATCATCAAGACCTTGGTACGTTTTAATCACCATCTCAACAAGCTCCTTTGGATACTTAGAATTCGATGATGTTTCATTAGTATTCATAGAACAAATCGAAGCCACGTGAACACACTATCCGATCAAAGTTATTTTACTTAATTTAATAGCGGTTCTCTTTAAATTCATAACTCTTTTTTGTACGCGTATGCGTACAAAACTAAGTTTTCGTTTATTATTTTAAAGATGAATTGAATATGTCAACTGGGTTTAAATTTAAAAATATCATATAAAACAATACCTAGCCTATAAAGAAACAATATTTAATTCATATAAAATTAAATAATATAAGTCGAAAATAGTTTTCCAGTGTTTAAATTTAAATTTTAACATTTGTTTACGTTTATTAATTTTTTATTTAAACATATAATTTCCTGTGCTAATTATGACCTTAATTACTTATGTCATTTGTAGGCGATTTACTCATTTAATTACCGCTGCACTTGAGATGAGCAAGGTCAGCGTGTTCATGCAAGGCAACGAATTATTTTTTTAATTCAAATGTGTAGGTCAAGAACTCCCAAGAGGATCTTGGAATATAATGAGTTTAATATTTATATGAAGTTCTTTTTGTTATTGTAGGGACGTATAATATGTAAATATAATGTTACTTGTATTATACATTAACCAAATGGGTTTTTCCTCCAAAAATAGAAGGCTAAGCTTTATTATTATTCCAAACAAATAACCGCAATGTATCACTGATATTATTAATAAAAAATGGCGCATATGTTGTTTATTAAAAACTGTAACAGACTAAAAAATAATCATTATTATGCATAAAAATAACAGTTAACACGTCGCATGCTTAAAGCCTAACGATATGCTATTGATAGGTGCTGAGAGTATTTTTTTTGTAAATCGTTATAACACCATTTAATTATCACTAGTTTTTCGTCTTTTTTTATTAAAAGAAAAAAAATTTAAATTAAATTTATAAGTTGTTTATAGTTTATAAAACGAATGAAACCCCATGAAACGAAGCCAAAAAAACCTGAAAAATCGAAAAAATTACTGGGCGCTATTTTTTAACTGGAATGTCTGGGGAAAGTCAATATAATAATATAAGGGCTATTATCTCGTGGTTATCGAAAAAACTGCGCATTTAGATAAAAATGTTCAACAGACGACTTTCTTAAAAAATAATTGCTTTTTAAAATGAGATTTTGTAAATTAAAAAATGCTTTTAACCCGAAAGTAAGCATTTTTTCAATTGTTTATAATTATTAAAATAAACAATAAAAACATTTAAAACACATTTCACAATTTGAGTTTTTATGTAATTAGTAATTTGTCAATACTTGTAATGTGTTTTTTTAGTCTGATTCTCTTTAAAAGGTCTCAAATTACCATGTTTTTTTTAACTATAATAATTTTAATTATTTACTGACAAAAATTGATGCAGAAGGACGTACCATTATCAATATATTGACAATATCCCTCATATAACTTATGCCGCGCAGTTTTTTTTTTTATACATTAAGTGTACGTTAATTTATTGATTGATAATGTTTTGTATTATGCATATTTTTATAAATCATTGAAAATCTCACGGTAGCATTATGCACCGCTTCATGTAGTTTAAGTTTGTATCGCAAATATTGTACAACTTAAACACATCAGACTTCGAATAAGGTAAATAAATATGCGCTTAATTTGAATTAGAATTTTAATGATTGAATTTCAAAATATTTATATATTTCAGAATTAATGTGATATAAATATTCTATAAATAATTTTTTCATAATTACTCACTTTTTATAAAATTATATTTATGTAATTATACGCATATTAAAGCAATTTATTACAAAAAATTGTTTTTTTCATTAAATTGAATAAATAACATATAAATATTTTTACATGATATATAAATATCATGTTATAGAACGGGAATGAAGCCGTTCAAAATAGTAAGCAATGAAAAAAAAATAGTAACAGGATGGAACCTATTGGAAAATTGAGAAATAACAAAAATTGATTAATGAAAATAATTTACTGGCAATTTGAGGTCGGTAAGAGGAGGGAGTGAGTTTTTAAAGGTAGAAAATGGTTCATCACGATTTAAGGCTACACAAGTCCTATTAATCTTTCGATTGTCTTCTTTTCCGCTTTTATCGCCATTTTGATATTATCGTAGATTGGGTACACACTATCAGCTGT